ACTCTTGATTATCAACCAGAACACACATGGCAACGAGATGCTTTGGTGAGCCAATGGCTTAGCTCGCACCGCTGAAATCAACTAACAGGGAGTAATGACTTACTGAAGACTCTCTCTGATTCTCTTCATCATGGAGTTTATTGACCTCGGCCTCACACTGGAAACGCCAAGCTAGACTGTACATCAGGTATGCCTCAAACAGCACTATGCTCCAGTCTCTTAAGGAAAGGACAGTTGACTGTTTCTGATGGTTTTCTACGAATACAGAACATAATGCATAAAATCAGTGGGACCTAACAGCCCAAAGGCCTATTTTGCTTTCAAAATTCTCTGGAACACTGGCCCAAAATAAGCAGCATGCTTTTCTTCGACAAAATTCTAGATAAAGAAAGTGTAAGAGGGGGAAAAGTCACTTCAAGTTTCCTACAAACGGATAAGGGTGAAAAGACAGCATACAAATTTCCATCACACAGGCTTTATTTTTAAAGCAGATGGTTATAAAACTCTGATATAAACACCAAAATAACAAAGTTACCCCACTGTATCTAATAAAATGTTACACTGAGGTTCAGAGTTAATAAAGTTAAAAGACTCTTAAGTAATGTCTTTTACTTGAAGAACTTTTGTTTCTAATATATGAAATACTACTTAAAAGATTTAAAATTCTAAAACTAAAGTTAGCGAGGTTGGCGACAGGCTCTTTCAAAGCCAAGATCAACTTTCCATATTTCCTCAAAACAGATTCTTAGATTTAGACCATACTGATATTTGTTTGTCAGTGAAAAAGGCACAGTATTGGTATAATGGAATATATATATGACACTGACAGCTCGGACTTTTTAAAATGAAACAAGTGAATTCTGAAAGAGAAAATAATATGCAAGGGCTGTGATTAGGGAAAAATGTTACTACATCCCTCAGCTTAGTCACAAACATACTGCCTAAAAGATTCTGGAGTGTTGATCTAGAATTCGTATCACTTTCACAACTCAAGATTACATGTTAGCAAAACTAAATGGTGTCAATTACCTGCTACTCTAACATGAAATGTTTAATTTACAAGTCCAAAGAAAACATGCGATTAGGCTGAAATTTATAAAATCCCAGATGAACTACAGAGATATCTTTTCCCATAAAAGAATGACATGTTAAATTGGTGATTCTCAAACCTTAACAGAAGCAAAGAACTAAGTGAAGAGAATCAGTACTTTTGAAGTATGGCTATATTTCACATTGTATTATTTTACCATTCCATCCATTAATGCAAGCCAGCAGGAGATAGGTTTAATTATCCCAGCATCATTTTGGTAAATGGTCAAATGAATCCAAGAATTTCTCAGTAGACACGGTTTGAATATTTTCTTTGAAAGCATCAAACTGCTTATAGCATGTTTCAGATTAAGAGGCATATTCTTAACACTGAGCCATCTCTACTGCTAGCGCAGCTACTAAGGGAGAATGTAAAGAAAGTTCTATTGTTGAAAGTCTTTTTAAAAGTTACTTAAGAACGTTTTATATGATTAAATTAAGGACAAATAGCTATATTCTCCTTGACTTGGTTCTTAATTACTCAAACTCAGTAACAGGCCACTTCACAATAGAGCATAATGTTAAATGGATCTTAATATCACTCTCACTATTTAAGTGAAACTCATACAACTTTGCAAATGTTTAAAATATAAAAGATGCACTTACAAAAATCTTATCATATATTTCTATACAGATTGATAAGTCCCAGTTGCTATTTTAGAAATTTGTAGCAAGTCAACACATAAAATGAGTATTGCCCACCACCCAATAAACACTAGAAATTAAAAAGTTATTAGCATTTAAAAAAGTGAACCTCTATTTCCCAGAAGTGAATACCTGGGAAGACAGATCCTAAGAGCAAAACTATCTGACAGCAAATAAATTGTCCATTTTTTTTTTTCCTCTGTGAACTTAGATCTATGTATCTACTTGTTATCAAAGTTCTCAATAATGAAACCCAACACAGCACATAAACTCCTATGACTGCACAAGTTACAAATAAGATATTTAAACCTAGTGACCAAGATATAATACTTAACTTTAATTTCATTCTAAACTTAATTTCAAACTGAAGTACATAGGTATAAGCTAAAATACTTCATTTACTTCATTTTGCCATAATATCCAGTTGTTATCATCTTAATGTGCCCACTGAACTTTTCTTCCAGGAGAAAAATGTCTTAAGTCTGTTCAAGTTGCAATTAAAGTTCTCTACTTTTTTCCACAAGACTGAAGTCTTCTGATAATATTATTAATTTAGCAAAATCTTAAAAGACAGGATTTATGTAAAATCAAAAGGCAAAGCTAGCTTACCTTACATAAAAACAATAGATAAAAAGAAAATGTAAAACATTAAAAATTTTAAATTAGTAGACCTCTTCAAATTTTCTATTTTTTCACTCTTTTGTGATAAGCTGTTTATTTCTAAATTACTTATTTTGCATTTGACTCCTTTTAAATTACATCCAAGCTGACTTTTCTTCATTCATCAAATAAGCACCAACATTTCTAAGATAAATCTGCCTACCGGTACCCAGCTTTAAAATATTACTTTTTAAAGTTTTACTGCGGTAACACATAAAGACAAACAGTCACAAATCCCTAAGAATACTAAAGTTACAGCTGAATCTCTTGGGCGGGCGTACATCATTCTTCCTTTTAAACATTATCAAATTGATAAGGATCAAATAAACAGTATTTCCACAAACTTCAAATTAGAACACTGACTCGAGAATACTCTTGGTATTTTAAAATTCTACAGATTAACTTTGGGCAGCTTCAAAGACACCATGGCTTCCTGAACAGGAGAGTTTTCTGCAGGCAGGGCAGATCTATTAAAAAACATGACCTGTGACAAAAATCAATGTGCTAATCTCAAACCAAACAACAGTATCAAAAGCATAAAACAGAGATAACCTAAGATAAAATGTCCTCAAACTAACTCAGACTAGCTTGACAGGTTAAGAAGGAGGGGTAGACCGGGGACGTTGCTGATGCTTCCAGGACGACTGGAACTCCCAAGTATTCAAATAAATGAATACCATGAGAAAAAAAGATTACCCTGTGAAGTCTGGGGTGGGGAAAAGAAAAGACAACCAAGAGCAAAATGTCCCAAATTCAACGAACCAATTTCACTGCTGTTTTATTTAATAAGGCACTGAAGTTTAAAATATAAATTCCTCTCTTTCGAATATGCTGTCTAATAAAGCCCAAAGGGGAATAAAACCAACCAACATAATGAGACTTGCTTTTAACACCATCACAACTGGAAAGCTCGCCCTATTTGTCTTGTCAGCTTTAATAAAAGGCATCTCCTCTGGCAGGATGGTTCTCTTGTCTTTTTTCCTAATAGTGGTAAGTGGCATGTCAGAGAAGAAATGAGTTTCCCATCCCATCACCCACCTCCAGGAGATGGTTTTTTTAAAGCCGAACTTTGAGGGATGTCTCCACTTGGGCCAGGCGCTGCAATCAGGTCTGGGGCTACCTGGGTGTGACTGTCTTTCCTGGGACAGCAGGGTGGGAGGGGGGCGCCTCTCTCCCTGGTCGGCAGCCGGTGGGCCGTTAGTAGGGAGATCTCCCTGTCTGCAGCGGAGAGGACCTTCCTCCAGGCGGGGTAAGCCCTCCGGTGCCAAAGTAACAAAGGCCGGCGGAGAGGGCCAAGGGGAGCGAGGGAAAACTAAGGCGCCGGCCAGCGCCTCTCCCCACGCGCGCGGCGACCGCCAACTCTTTCCTTGGCCTCCCAACTTCCACTCCAGCCCAGGGGAGGGGGGAAAAAAAACAACAAAGCCGGGATTTTCGGTATAATCGAGGCTGTTTCCCTCCTCCAAGGAGGGCTCGGAGAACAGCCCAGTGCTGGAAGCTGGCCTCGGTCCCGGAGACGCAGAGCAAAGTGGGCCCCGCGGGGCCGACCGCTGCCCGGGCGAAAGGAGAGCTGCGACCTGCCCTGGACCCGGAGGGGGCTTCCCGGCCCTGCGGACAAGGCCCCCCCGCGCCCCGCGTCCCGGGGCTGTGAGCCAGGACCGTCCGCGGGCGGCCGGGGGCCGGCGCGAGCGCTCGGGCGGCCCGGGGCGCGCGTCTCCGGCTTCCCCGCGTCCCCGGCGGGCTCGGGCAGCGCCCGAGAACCGGCTCCAGGTGACCGCGCGCGTGCCTGCGGCGGCGCCGCCGGCCTCCAGACCCAGGGCTCCCACCTCCGGGGGCGGGTTACTCGGGCAGCTAGCTCGGCAAGCCTGCCGTGACCCGGCCTTCCATCAAACTTTCTGACCCCCTGCGCCCACCGGGAGGCGGAGGAGGGGGGAGCGTCCTCCCTACCGCCAAGAGAGCCGGGACCAGACGGACTGGGGGGCCGCCTGCTCTCCTTACGGTTAAAAGAAGAAAATAAAAACCTCCAGCTTCTCCCTCCCAGGCCCCCTCCCTGCCCCCAGCCAGTGCGCCTTCCGAGCGCATCGGGGGAAAAGGGAAGCAAAAATTCACACACACACATACACACACACACACACACTTTGGGGATCTTTGGCGGGTTCTCCCCCGCAATCCTTGCGCAGCCAGGCTCCAGGAGGGAGCTCCTGGCGGCGCTGCGCCCGAGGCTCTCCGCGCCCAAGCCCCGCGCCTGTATCGGGATGCCGGCCAGTCGGCCCGGGTGCCAGAGCGAAGTCTCGACTCCCGGGCTCCAGCTTTTTCCGAGCGTTTTCCTGGCGCTGCGCAGAAGCCGCGGGTCCGGGCAGCCCCGGGGACGCCCAGGGGGCACGCAGGCTCCCCCGCCGCACCCCAACAAAAGGGGGCCCACGAGAGGCGCTTTTCCCGCGAGCGCCTGCCAGGCGATCCGCGCCCGAGCCCACGCAGACTCAGCGCGCGCGCCGCGGCCGGCCGGGGCGCGCGGGTCCCCGGCGGGCGCCGCCGCTCCGTCCGCAGGGCCCCGAGGCCCGGGGAGCCCGGGTTCTCCGATCCACACCCCCCACCCCCCGCCACCCTACCTGGGGTTGCTGCTGTTCCAGTAGACGGCGTAGCGGTCGGCGACGGCCTTGGAGCCCGGGTCCTGGCTGAACACACACATCCACAGCACGAGAAACAGCAGCGTCAACATCTCCACGTGCAGCATCACGCCTGGCCAGCGGCGGAGCCCCCGACGCGCCACTCCGGGGAGAGAGCAAGGATCCGGACGCAGGGAGGGGAGGGGGGAGAGCGAGCGAGCGGGGGCCAAATAAATATGAATAAATAGAAATGCAGAGGGGAGAGAGGAGAGAGGCGCGCACCGAGCTGAGAGCGGGGGGGAGGCGAGCGAGAAGAAAAGAAGGCGGCGGAGTAGGGGGGAGGTGATCAAGGCAAACTCGCAGCCCCGCTGGAGGGATCGGGAGGAAAAAAGGGAATCGCAAGATGGAGAGAAGCGTGCGTGTGTGTGTGCGGTGGCGGCGGCGGCGGGGGCGGGGGAATGGGTGCCAAGCTGGGTCTCGGGCGGCGGCGGCGGCGGGCCGGTCACCCGGGCAGAGGGCGGTGCGCGCCCGGCCGGGCGGCGGCACACTGCGCAGTCACCGCGAGGGGCGCGCCGCGGCCGCGGGGAGACATACACCGGCCCGCCGGGCCCGACTCAGCGGCGGCGGCGCGGGCTGCGCACGGCTCCGCCGCTGCCGGGGGCCCTGGGCACCGCGCCCCGCTTCGCTCCAAGTTACTTTGGCGGTCTCTGGGGGGGCGGGGGGCGGCAACTGCAGGAGGGGAGCTCCGTGCGGATGGCGCGGGGGCGGAGGGGGGGGCTTCGCGCCTGCGGTCCCGGGGAGTCGAAGGACCCCCCGTTTCTCCCGCCTCCTTGGTGCTTTCGAGCCGGGTGAGCCCTGGAGATCTCGGAGGAGTCCCAGGCGAGAAGGGCAGGGATCTGGAGTCACGGAGCGGCCAGCCCCGCCGGCGTCCTGGAGCTGGGGGAGCGGCCGCGGAGCTCTGGAGGAGCCGTCTTGCCTCGCAAACCTCCAAGAAAAGTTTGGCTCCCCGCGTCTTCGGGCGGGTCCCCCAACCCCCCTCCGGCGGAGTCCGTCTGCGACGGCGGTGGGAGGCGACACCCGGCCGCGGGCTGAGTCCCGGGGACCCCTCGCGCGTGCCTTCCTCGGCCGGGAGCGGGTGCACCAAGGCGCGCGGAGAGCGGAGGTTACGCACCAGCCAGCCGGGCGGAGCTGGGATGCCGAGACCCGCGGGGCGATGCCAACCCAGCTGTGAGGCTCGGGGGCCGGAGGGCAAACGACCCCTCGCGGATGAACCCCTCCAACTCCCGAACGGGCCGATGTCAAGTCTCCGATCGCCTTCCGGGAGCCAGACCGAGCCCCCCCAGCTGCGGGGCCGAGAGCACTGGGAGGAGCTCTCAGAAGTGTCCCTGCGACTCCGACTGATTCCACCCCAAGCCCGGCAACTTGTAGAGATGCATCAATCAGTTGGAAACGCCAGAGGAGGAGGGGGAAAAAAAAAAAAGAAAAGAGAAAGACAGCGCACGAGCGCGTGGCACCTCCCCGATGACTACATCAGAAAAACCTTCCAGTTCCTCCAGCAGCGGCTCTTCTTTCCCTCCTCGGGCGCAGCGGCAGCGAGGGTGTGAAAACCACCGAGAGAATCCCCAGACCTTCGCCAGGCGGGAAAATAAACTTCAGTGCAGCAGCGGCGGCACGAGCAGCCCGGGAGGGATTGCAACGACTGGCGAGGAGTGGGAAGGGGTAAAAGTCAGTTTTGCAAAAGAGAGAGGGGAGAAAAAAAAGAGAGAATGCTTTATGGGAAAAAAAAAAAATCTCGGGCACGCCCCCTCGTTAATGACCTGCGTGTAAAGCCGACAGCCGCCGCCGCCGCCGCGCGGGAGCTCGTGGCCGCGCGCGTGGACGTGGACGGGGGCGCGGGGGCCGGGGAGCGGGGTGGGCGTGCGGCGCGGAGCCCGGCCCGACAGGGGGAGGTGCCTGCAGCCTGCGCCGCCGCCGCCCGGGTCATGTGGGCTGTTTTTTTTTTTCCTTCGCCCCCCCCCCCACCCCCACCCCTCGCAGTTTACTTGGGAAGGGGTGGGGAGCGGCTGGAGCAGCCAGTCTGGCCCCGGCCTGCTGTTTGCCTACCGATCGGGTTTTTTTTTTTTTTTTTCCCCTCTATCCAACCCGATTGGTCTGCTCCACGAGAACAGAGGCGTTTTCCTAATCTCCTCCCTTCCCCACGCCTCCTACCCCCCCCCCTCCCTCCCCATCCCGGGCCCCACCTTCTAGAAACCTGACTAATTGAATTACTGGGAGTGCTCGGGCGCCCTCTCCTCCGCGCGAACCCAGCTGTGCCGCGCGTAACCCTTTGGATGCTGACATTTTTTCCCCCCTGGTCTGGGCTGCGGAATGGTCCTGACGTCTCTTTACCTGAGACGAGGGGGTTCTTCAATGACAAAGGAACGGGTTATCCCACCCTGCAGCCGGAAAGCCGAAATCCGTCTCCGGGGCCCCTCGAGTGATAATAACAAAGTCCCGGCAACCGGCGGGCAGGGGGACCACAGTGACCACGTGTTCTCGTAAATCTCCGCCCGGGTCTTAACGACGCGCGCTGCGCGGTTGTCTGGCGACCCGAGCATCTCTCAGGTGCCTTTGAATTCCCCTCTTCCTATCAGGGATTTCAAGGTTCGTGGGCAGCAAGGGCGACTTTTCTTTAAAGTGATGCTTTGAAAACACTTTTTTTTAAAGTCGAGAATATCAGTGTGTTAAGTCGAGGAAATCAGTGTTAGGTCGAGAAAAATCAGTGTACAGTGATTACAATTCAGTGCGAACCCTTGGCGGGGAGGACATTGAATGCGGCAGGGGAGCCCCCCACCCGCAACACTTTCCTAGTTCAGCTCCGAGGTCGGTTCAGTGCGCACTGCCCAAAGGAGAAAGGGTCTGCACGAGCCCGGTGCAGGAAAAGAAATAGAGGGCGGGGAAGGAGTTCTCTTATTACCGGAACGCGACTTGTGTCCCGGGGCTCCCAGAGTAAGGCTGCAGCACCTCGCGCCCCCCCACCCCCACCCACCGCCCCCTACCCCGACCGCCAGGGATGCGCGGCCGCCCCAGAGCGGCGCGGGCCTAGCGCCCCGGGACTCGGGCAGCGCCGGGGAGGCGCGCGGCGCTGCGGCGCCTGGAGACTCGGCCTCGCGGGGCCGGGGGGCCGCTGGAGTCCGGTCTCCCTGACGCTCCAGGGGATTCGCTGCCTTAGTGGGAAGGGCTGATCCCAGGAAAGCAGCCAGGTTCGGCTCCCGAACCTGCCGGCTGTCCCCGGTACTTAGGAGCCCAAGGCAAGGAAAGATCGCGTCTTTCCTACGGCGCGCTCCGGTCCCCGCGCCCTGGATTTGCAGGCGCTTCCGAGCTCTTTTGAAGCGTCCACGCGCCCTCCAGTGGCGGGCCTGCGGTCTGCACCCAGTGGGGCTACTGCCCGCGGCCCGGCCGGGTTGAGGGGGGGACACCGATACTCCGGGGCTACCAAGCATACAGGCTGGAGAGGAAAGGGACAGCTCCCCTCGACATGGGGTTACCTGGATGTCCCCGGCTCTTACCGAAAAGCTGAGTCGTTTCTCAGTTACAGAATTTTTTCCTATCTGGAGATACCCTGAAATTGTCCTGGAAAAGTAACTCATCCCCTTGTGACTAGACAGGAAATGCAACCTGTAATTGTAGATTGCGCTGCAGACCACCCTAACAAACCAAGCGCCTTCCCACATTAAGAAATGTGTATTCAAAACCATCAACAGAAATTCTTGTCGACCATCTGTATGTTTCACAGATTTCCAGCAGTGAGAAGTTAGAAAACTTAAGCTAGGGAACAGAAGGCTAAGCTTTAATTTTTTTTAATCAAATTTTCATTTAAAACGTTTTCTCCCCCCACCCCACCCCGCCCCCGTTCTGCTGATGTTCAAGTTCTTGGCCTATTTTACCATGAGCTTGTTTCTTTTTTTTTTTCCTGTTGCAAGAAGGATGCATTTTACCCTGTCTTTCAGATAAGAGCTCTAATAGGTGTTCCTATGACTGAGGCAGTCTGGCAGGAAATATTCCGGATCCTTTTAAGGGACATGTGTATCTTTAGGAAGATGAGAATTCACGACTCCTATCTTGGGGAAGATGCTGAATCTCATCAGAGAGACTTTTTAGTCAGGGAAATATCAGGTATCAGGAGTTAGCAAGCTGGCTTCCTGCGGCAGCAAAGCCAAAAGGAGTAAAGAAAAGGGAATTCTCTCCACTTATTTCCTATTTGAAACACACATTGTAAGCAAATGTGAAAAATCAACATATCAAACGAATATGGATGTCCTGATATTTTAAATATTTCCAATTTGTTTAAGTCTGTATAGTCAGAAAAAGAAATTATGCAGAAAAAGAAATCCTACATTATGGTTTTCCTTAAAATGATTCAAGGAGTAGGAACAAAAGGCATCAGAATTTGCAGCTGTCCAGAACACAATTCAAAAGTATATGAGAAATAATTCATAGACTTAAATGCCTCCTTCTGGGATTATATACCTAAGTAATTACTGATATTGAACTAAGTAAGTAGTAATATGATGGATACATATGTAGATGAAGTTTGAAGAGAGGTATTGTGAAGTATACTTATCATTGGATAATGTGGCTTTGTCTCCTCGAGGAAATATTCAAGTGATTTGAATTTATACAAATCATCATTACATAAAATAATTATGATTAGCTCAGTGTCCCAGAGGCAATGGCTCCAAAAGTTGGCCTTTACAACATAAGTCACATTTGCCACGTATAGAAGAAGGTGCTAGCATGTCAGCGACAACAGCAAGAACCTATGGAATAAAAGTGCAAAGAGTGTTTGAATGCTTTGAGTTCTGCAAGACTGAAACAGGGCTGTAGGGAGCTGAGTCCTGAAAAGTTGGCTCAGAATGGACTGTAGAAGTTTAGCTATATTCTAAATATATTTGGATTTAAAGCTACAGGTAAACAAGCGCACTGGTGCTTTTAAAACAAATGGCACTGAAGCAGTTCCTCAAATTAAAGTACAAACAGGGATTAAGCTATCTGTTCATTTATTTATTACTTTTTGGCCCGGAAGTATCTAGATGGGTGTTCTAACCTTGGCTACAAATTAGAATTACCTTGGGAGTTTTTGTTTTTTGTTTTTAAAGAACCATGTCAAGACCCAACTCCCTGTTTTTAGTTGGTTGCTGCTGCTGCTGCTAAGTCGCTTCAGTCGTGTCCGACTGTGTGCGACCCCGTAGACGGCAGCCCACCAGGCTCACCCGTCCCTGGGTTTCTCCAGGCAAGAATACTGGAGTGGGTTGCCATTTCCTTCTCCAGTGCATGAAAGTGAAAAGTGAAAGTGAAGTCGCTCAGTCATGTCCGACTCTAAGCGACCCATGGACCACAGCCCACCAGGCTCCTCTGTCCATGGGATTCTCCAGGCAAGAGTACTGGAGTGGGGTGCCATTGCCTTCTCCGGTTTTAGTTGGGGGTGGGGATTTGGTTTCTATAATTCTTAAAAGCTCCCCAGGGAATTCTAATCAGCATAGAAAATTGAGAATCACTGATCTAGGTAATTTATTTTTACCTTAACTCTTTCAATATTTCAGGGGAAAAAAAAAAAACAAGCTCTGTACTTAGAAGAAATGTCCCAACTAACCATCAAGGCAAGAACATTGATACTTCCAAGAACTGAATTTCATGACTCTATCAAAATGAAGTGATACTTTAAAAATAATTTTCACATGGCATAAAACAGAACACCAATCCTAGATGTGACTGCAGAGCGAAGCTTATTTTGAAATATGAACTAGTCTTCATTTTTAGACTAGTTTGGATTTCCTTTCTGTGTTAGCTGCTGCCAGATAGAAGTGGAAATCTACTGAGTCAAATGTCCGGACAAATAAATGAAACAAGCTGGTGAATCAAGCCTCACAGTTCACAGACGAAGCAACTCTTATTGAAGATAGCTGTTAAATTAGAACTAATACCCCTGAAAAAATAATAAGGGAAATAAACTCAAGAGCAAAGATTAAGAAAGTAGTAACTAGACAAAAAACTTTCGAGCAGGTGAGTCACATAATGTGATTTATGCTAAGCCTGCCATCCTCCTAGAGCTTCAGAACTCATTCCAGAGACACACAGGTTCCACCACGAAACTGCCACCCTGCTATCCTGCGCCCAGACTGTTTCAAGTTATTTCATGAAGCCTTCTCCCTTTTTTACCCCCTTTTATAACAGCTTCCTCAGAATCTTTAGAAAGAACTCTTCACTAGCTTTGCTTTCCTTTCAGACCTTAGGAAATGCTCCTAAGTATAATGTTTATGATGCAGTTGCCTTTCCTGGGTGTAGTCTCAAATAGGAAGGAGAAACAGCCTCTACTAAATAAAGTACCAACTCTCTACCTTCAACTTGTGACCTTCAACTTCCATCTGGAATTTCCTGGGATCCCTTCTCTTGAAGCCTGTGGATAAGTAGAAGCAATTTTACAAGTTACTGAAATATTCTTAAGTAGACAATTGTAGAATTTCTTATCTATTGACTATGTGTTGCTTTGCTCATTTTGAAACTTTGTTTAAGACCCACATAGCAAACTTTTTAAACATGTAGAGTTTTGAACAGTCATTGTGATAAAAAGCCAAACCAAGTGGTTAGGCACATATGTAAATATGCATTACATCTCTGTGTATTACAAATGTGTATGTGCTTACATATAATTTTGAAAGAAGCAAACAAGAACTGGTTGATTCAACCAATTTCCACATCATTTTTCATTACCCAGACTTCAGTATACATACCATAGAACTATGTGGCCAATATTCAACTATCAAGCTGAAATTGGTAGGTGATATTATTCTCATAGGAAATGTTTGTGTTGTCCTTTACTATTTGAACATGTATGTACTTTCACTGCTCTGTAGTTGCCCTCTTCAAATGTTTAAATAAAAATCACCAAATAAAATCTATCTGCATTCTAAAACTCTAATCAACTGACATAAGTGAACTATCCTAAAATGGTCTTTGTGAGTGATTAAATAGCATTACACTCCTTGCTTAAAAGAATTCAGATTACCATGGATGCATATTACTTACTAAATAAGTAAATAAATGTATATCTGTTCTATTACAATGGCAACATAGATACCTACAGCATACCCTTATTTAAGTAAAAAGAACATATGGAGCCTTTTCAGAAATAAAGTTAACCTGTGCTTTTTTCGCAAATAGATGCAAACTAATAATTAGGATACTTTTCTCCACCAGCCACATCTAACGTCACCTAAAAAGGATGTAAGTTGTGTGCTTTTGTATTTTTTTTTTTACTTGTTTAGAGACTCCCCAAAGGCAAGAATATCTTTTTTAAAAAATTTAATTGATGCCATTATGTACATATACATTTATACATGTGTAGCATGTTTATGAGCATATATATGGATAGGAAGAGACAGAACTTATTTTTCAATCAATTTTCCCCCGAGATTTCATCAGCTTCTGTGAGAATTCCATTTAAAGGCGAGCAGAGGATATCACCCTTAGTCACTGGGCATGATTTCATGGAAGAGGAAATGCTATTTCTAAGCCCCTTTTTAGCATTGGCTTTACTCTTTCTCCCCAGATCTAAACTGGCTAAGCAAAATAGAATTATGGCAAAGTAAGAAACTCTTTCCTCAACTATGTGCCTTTTTTTTTTTTAACATAAAAGGCTCAGTTAGGGGATATTTTGGAGTGTGGATTTTTTTTTTTTTTGGTAGTCATTTAAATAATTCTCAATTTTTTTTTCATTTTTCTTGGCCGTGGTAGAGATGGTCTTTTAAAGTATATATTTTTTTTTTTTTAGGAAAATTGTCCTCTTACTGCAGATTTATAACTCTAGTTGAGACTTCCAAAAATCTTATGCCAACATTGTAAATTTTACTGTGATATCGTAAAGTTACAGTTAGGGTATAATTTTTTAAAGGCATTTCATTTTGTAGTTTGGAGTAATAGTTATAAAACTGGTCTCTATAGAAACCACTGTAACTTGTGATTTTAGAACATCAAATAATAATGCAGAAGAATATTGGCCAAAACTTTTAAAATGAGGAATATTTTACTGAACTGACTCTTTCTAAACTCAAGTCTGGGAGGAAAATGTGCTGTTAAAATGACTGCCTTTTAACCAGAGATTATCACTCTCCATTTCCATTAGTCTACCTTTGGGGGGGGGTGCATATGATGTATACTAATTAAATAGGATTTATTGGTTCAGCTAGATTCTGAATTATTCTCCTTCCTTATGGATTAGGAGAGTGCCTTTCTTAACCCTTTTCCTTGAAATCCATCAGGATCTTTTATGTGGACTAGCTAGTATTCTGCACAGTTCTAATGCTTAATAAATATTACATTACAATATTAGCATAATAATAAATCATCTTAAAGTACTACATGGGCTATTAAGTGAGATCCTATTCAGTTTGAGCCAAGACATCAAAAAGTTTTATTTTCTCTATACGCATACAAAGTAATTTAAAAACTTCCTTTCCATGAAATGCCCTTGCATCCATAAGATGTCTACATATTACAGAGTGAAGTGGTGAAGTGTGTGTCTCCCAGTTATGTATTTCATTTGTTCAATTCATTCTGGGGCCTGAATTTGCCATTTTAGTAAGAGGAAATTTAAAATTGGGCAGACAAAAATGGAAATAGCACCATTTGTCAAGTAAATGCCCTTTTCCCAATGGCAATTCTGAAGTCTTTATAAAGGATTTCCAGGCCAGCGGCTAGGCAGTGTCCCTTGCCATTAAGAAATCCTGCTTTGTCTGTGACCAGTTACGTCACACACACCTTGACCAACAACTGCGGAAAACACGGGGATTTTGTTTACACTTACAGAAACAAGAAAGAAGCTAAAAATATCCTGTCAATACAGTCTCATCCTAACTGGTTGCTGTGAGGGAGCTCCTAGTTGGAAACTGCCATCAAAGCTAAAAATAAAGACATTTCCTTTTCCAAAAGTATTGTCCAAATATTACACATTTTATCTACCAATATGAGCTGAACTGATGTGACTCAAATAGGATAAAGATGATGCAGAATCTGTGATGGATAGCAAAATGGCCCCAATTCTGCCTCCCTCACAGTCTAACTTTGCAGTTAGCTCCTAGCGTCAATAAAGACTCTTATTTTTTTCACCCCTTGAATCTGAGCTGACCTGCAATTCTGAGACACATCTCGAGAGGTGCTTAAGCTTCCCCTCTAGGAACCCTGCCCAGCGGCCACCTGGACCAGCTGAAGCGAGCCTTCTGGTTGATGGGAGATGTGTCGCTCATTCACCCCATTGGCCCTGGCAATCCCCAGGTGCGATGCTAACCAGCTGACCGGCAGTGGCCAGAGGTATTAAACATTTTCAGCGGAGACTAGAAGAGCTTCACAGCTGAGCCCAGCCTAAACTGCCCACCCCCCAAAATCCTGTCCTCAACAAATGGTCCTCGTTCTGAGTCGCTAAATTTTGGGGTGGTTTGTTAGACAGCAGTAGACAACAGATACGTCCACTTATTAAATTATCAGAAATAAAATTGTGGATATCATTCAGCTCAAATAAATGTTGTTCTTTCACAGCTTTGACTTCCCTTACTGAGTGACTTGCTGCTAAGGCTGTACCTGGCACCATGGTTTTCTGAATTTCTCTACCCCGAGTGTTTGTTTTTGCTACTTTACAGCTTTCAGAGGGAGTCTTTTTCTCCTTCAATAAAAACTCCACGTGGAACCCTCAGTGAACACGGTCAACTTTCAGGCCCTTCTGATCCTCTTAGGATAATGTCATTTGGTTAGACTGGCAAACCCGAAGAGGTGCTGTATCCAAAGCTGATTCTTCTTCTAAAGTGGCGTCCAACCAGGAAAAAAAAAAGAAATGAAAAAGGTGAAAAATCAAAGGAAGCTATGTTTAGCTTCGTCTCAAACCTCCGCATCACTCACCGCATTGATTTAACATCACGGCACCTCCATCTTCCAGCAGGAGGGGCTGGTGCAAGAGAGCAGCTGCGGTGAACCCATAAGGGTCAACCTCGAATGACAACATATCTGCTCTTGGCTGACAGCCGTGGTGGGACTCAGGATGGACAGCTCTCTTTCCATAGTTGGAATAGATCTGTTTCAAGGGAGTGGATACAAAGGGAGTTTAAAGAGATAAATTGGAATTTTATATCCCGAGCCGTATCTTCCTGTGAGTTAAACGTTCTACGACTGGAGGAGGTTGTGTCCACGTCTCTCCCGGGCCATCCCTCTGAGTCTGGTTCCCAGCCCGGGGTTTCTGGTGTGTGCACCTTGGCTGGGGGCGAATCCATGGACTCAGAGTGGTCCTTGTGAGCATCCATCTCACTTTCCCCCGCTGCAGACACTGAACCATTGGCCACCCTTCTTGAGGCTATCTTACCCTTTGATGTTTATTAGTCCACATTTCCAGAGTCTTCTTATTTTGTCTTACTAGTTTCTTCTGCCTGCTTGACAGTGATTTGCAGCCTGGTGGCAGGCACAGAGTGTTTGTGGATGAATGTCCACCCCTGAAATACAGGTATTTTTCTTTAGCCCTCTTCTCTTCCTTTACTGACAGGACTTTAACAAACATGTTCATATTCACAGCTTATCTCCTTTTGTGGATTGGGGTAAAGACCCCCATCAGCTCCCAAAGGAGAACTTCTCACTGACAGATTTGATGAGGCAGAGGATTCAGTGTTCTGCCAAGGGATGTCTCAACTTCTCCATCAGGTTGCCTCCTAACTGATCTCAGCCACCCACGCTTACCTCCATCCCGTATTCACTCCATTCTGCAGCTGGGGTCATCTATTCCAGAGGGAAGCGTCACACTCCACCAGTCCACGGCTTCCTATCAGTTCAGTTCAGTTCAGTCGCTCAGTTGTGTCCAACTCTTTGTGACCCCATGGACTGTAGCACGCCAGGCCTCCCTGTCCATCACCAACTCCTGGAGTTTACTCAAACCCATGTCCATTGAGTCGGTGATGGCATCCAACCATCTCATCCTCTGTCGTCCCCTTCTCCTCCCGCCTTCAATCTTTCCCAGCATCAGGGTCTTTTCCAGTGAGTCGGTTCTTAGTATCAGGTGGCCAAAGTATTGGAGTTTCAGCTTCAGTCTCAGTCCTTCCAATGAATATTCAGGACTGATCTCCTTTAGGATGGGCTAGTTGGATCTCCTTGCAATCCAAGGGACTCTCAAGAGTCTTCTCCAACACCACAGTCCAAAAGCAACAAGGATAAATTCTCAGCATGGCCACCAAGCCCCGCATGGACTGATTCTTGCCTTCCTCTTCGACCTGGTCTTACAGAATCCCCCCCAAGGCACTAACTCCAGCGACACTGACTGACTCTCCTGTCCTCAGAGAAGCCCTGCATCCCTCTATCTCTGGGACTTTGCTTATGCAGCCCCTCTGAAACATTTAGAGTCTCACCTGTTGGACTGAACTCATCCTTCAAGGCTCAGCTCTGATGCCAGTTTCTAGGGGAAGCGTCTTCTGACTCCCCAGAACAGAGCAGGACTCTGCTAACCCACCCAGGACACCGAGTCTGTCTTCACACTACCTGTCCTCTGACTGAGATCTGTGTTTGTGTGGCCCTTCCTTGGTTTCTCCTCCTAGTTCAGTTACTCTTCATCCCTCTCCGGAGTTTAGCGTTGCACACAGCACGTATTCTACGAACATACACTCAGTGAGGGAAGGAAAATAGTGCCCTGGTACTTTACACTGTGTTTTCTAGAAGCAGCCAGATCTCAGGGTTGCAAAAAGGCAGTAGGAGTGAGAGGGAAGGACAGCCTAGTGCCTCACAAAGGCTGACCCCCTGCAGAAGGAAATGGCACCCCACTCCAGTATCCTTGCCTGGGGGGTCCCATGGACAGAGGAGCCTGGGGGGCTACAGTGCATGGGGTCGCGAAGAGTCAGACACGACTGAAGACTGAGCCCAGCACCTGGTACACTGCAGAGTGATGCAGACCAAGTTAGGAGAGAATGCGGGGGCTGCGGAGGGCAATTTCTGGCTGGGAGATTTCTGCTTAGGTGTCAGAGGACGATTCTGGATGTTCTCGAAGCCAGGGCAGAACAGAGGAGCTGGGAGGCCCGCAGGAGGACTTCTGTCAAAGACAGAGTCTGTTCTTGTTGAGCTGCTACTGTCATTAATTACATTACATTCACACTAGGTAAGTTTTACTGGTCAGGGTTCCAGAATAATTATACATTTTTGTATTTTTAGCTATATTTTTTCTTTCCTTGGTAGGGTTTGACATGGAAGTCCAACAATGTACAGTTTGGAGCTGAAGAAGTGGTAATGGAAATACTGATCCCAACCCCAGGATATCCATTTTAGAAGCGATACGATGCAAAAGGGGAGATCTTAGATATCATCACCCTTGTTCCTTGATGTCACAAGTCAAAAAGCAATTCCTCTGCAACCAGAGGGCAAATTAGTTGCTGGCTCCTGTGTGCATGAATTATCGCTGAAGGAATCACAAAAAAGATTTGAATTACTAAACAACTTACCTTGAAAAAAATAAGAAGAGAGGAAAGATGCATGAGCTTCGGGAAAGGGTTTTATAATGTACCCCAGTTGACTCAGTGATAAATGTACATAATTAATCATAGACACCATTTTGGCAAATGATATTTTTAAATGATAGAGGCAATTATCTGTATAATTACATATGCACAATATGCATTATTTTCTGCTTTCAACAGGCAGCCAACCCTACAGAAAAGGTAAGGAAGAGACTTATCTAGTTTAGCATCCTAATTTTAACCTCAATCTAAAGAGGACAATTTTTTTGGTAATTAGAGGAGGTTCAGAAAAGGAATGTAATAATGGTGACTTCTTGGTTTGCCTACTATCCTGGTGAAACTATTTAGTTGCTAGGTTTAAAGCCATACAATAGGTCATATTCTCTCTTTTTTAATAAATATAAAATAATCTCCTAAACACCTTTCCAATAAATGTTCTGGAAATACATTGTAAAACTTGTGAAAATGAAAGAATATTTGCTCCTCTCTACTAAGTTATTCTTTCTATTAAAATGAGAAAGAAAATTTCAGCAACTATAGTAAGCAGTAGTAGTTTTTTTTCCTAACTTGATAGAATGAGTACATCCTCTCTCAGCTATTTCTTTAACCTAATGGTCTTATTTTACAAAGGCAGTGTGGTGTGGGGAAGAGCTCTGTCTGGAGTCAGAGAAACATAGCTTCTGATCCTGTTCAGCAGTTTACTATGATGCTAACCTTGAGCAACTTACTAAACGTTGCTAAGCTTCAACTGCTTTGTACAAGTGAGTGTAATCACGTCAATCTCATAAAATATACAGTGCACAGTACAGGAGGTAATGTTTACCAAGTCTCTGGACTCCTGTCAGGGATTCAACACATGTTCAATACTGCAGGTATTATTCATGTTAAATCCTCCCCCTCCTTCAAGTTCTTTAACATCTTATCCATCTGAAATAAATCGCAATGTCATTCCATCATTCACTCATTCTACCAATGTGTATTGAGTGCCGGGCATACTTAAAAAATATCAGTATATAACTAAATGAGTCATTTTGGATGTGTTGATAAGTAAAGAAAGGATGGATTATTCAGAAAGTGGTTAGCAACTTTGAACTCTTAACTCAGATGGTCTACAACTGTGTGGTCCACGCAATAGCCAATAGCCACACGTGACTCTTGAGTGCTTGAAATGTGACAATTTTAAATTGAGATATACTGAATACATAAAATATACTCCAGATTTTGAAAACTCAGGATAAAAAAAAGACTGCAAAATATCTCATTACAATTTTTTCATTTTGTTCACATGTTGAAATAATCCTATTTGATAACTGTATTAATATTTATAAATATTTATATTGTATAAAGTATTAAATTCTTAAAATGAATTCTATGTTTCTTTTTACTTTTTTAGATATATGCCTATGGGGAAATTTCAAATTTCGTTGCTCACATTTGTGGCTACAATTATGTTTCTGTTGGGCAGCACTTATCTAAATATTTAAATACAATAAGAAAGGAGGAAAAGAGTTGGGGAGAGGAAGGGAGGCAAGGGGGAAGGAAAGAAGGAAGGAAGGAAGTAAAAAGGATCTTCAAGAACCGAAAGGTACAAGCCTTAACAGACCAGAGAGTGGGACAATCCTTCCTCCACATGACACCAATGACCAAAAAAATCTGGGCGCCTGAGATGCTGTGCTTACAGCACCAGGCCAGCTCCTTGGCAAATGCCAGCGTGCACTGATCTCAAGGCCCCGGCCTGCGGTGCCTTGAAGCAAGGTTTCGGTTCCCGGCCAGAGATGAAAGTCAGGCTGAGGCACGGGAGTGTTGCATCCTAGCCACTAGAGCCGCAGGGACCAGTGGGCAGCTGCAAGGCCCTGGTGCGCCGGCTTTGAGGAAATGAACTCCCGCAAAGACAGAAGGCAGTGTGGAGCAGGAAGGAGAACAGTCTGTGTGGGCAGACCCATGGACAGGCTCGCAGAGAGGCCGCCCTTGTGGACGTCTGAGTCACTTTAATGCGGCGTTTCTTCCAGGTTTCCTTTCGCCAGGCACCTTGCTTCGCCTGGTCCTGAGTTCACACTTGCTGTACCTCAGGGTCCAGGCGTGCGCACGCATCTCTTCGACTAGATGGATTCTGGCGAAAGGGCCGCAGGGTGAGCCGGCGTCGCTTACTGTGAGGCGACACCCCCTCCTTTTGACCTCTGAGACAGTGCCTTTCCGCAGCAGTATAGTAGGGAAGGTCTCTCACTCCAAGAAGGAGAAAGCTGTGGTCTCTGTCTGTTATCTGGGCAGGGCGCAGCTCGCCTCTGGGTCCCAGTCTTCATGGCGGGGAAACCAGCCCTCCACACTGGGGCCCCCCAGTTCCGGCCTCAGCACTGTTTGCTTCATGATCACCTCCCCTATTTCAGGCACCATACGAGGTGCTCCAGTTACAGTGATGGACGAAACAATCCATTCTATCCTGGAGTACTCAGTCTAATGAGAATTAAGAGCAAGAAAGATTTTTGCAAGCTTTTACATTTTATATTTCATATTGTTGACCTTAAAGATACTGTTTTAATTTTCTTTCAAAGAGTGTGGACACGCCTCTCCAAATCTGACCCTTATTAACCTGATTTCTGTTTTGTCTTCATGAGAATGAACAGCAATGGGATATTGAAAGGCAGCTTTAGTTCCTTTGTTAAAAATGTCATTGACTAATATATTGCAAAGTTGCTCAGTAACAGATATTAATTTAGAAGCACTCATCTGGCATATATTTCTAATATCATACATATCATTTCAGTTCAGTTCAGTCGCTCAGTCATGTCTGAATCTTTGCGACCCCATGAATCGTAGCATGCCAGGCCTCCCTGTCCATCACCAACTCCCAGAGTTTACTCAAACTCATGCCCATTGAGTCGGTGATGCCATCCAACCACCTCATCCTCTGTTGTCCCTCTTTCTTTCAATCTTTCCCAGCATCTGGGTCTTTTCAAGTGCACCAGTTCTTTGTATCAGGTGGCCAAACTATTGGAGTTTCAGCTTCAGCATCAGTCCTTCCAATGAATATTCAGGACTGATTTCCTTTAGGATGGACTGGTTAGATTATGCATGTCATTCTCACACAAAATCATTCCTGGATCCTTCCACAGTATTTCAGACTATAACAGGTTAACCTGGGGTATCCTCTAATGCACATTAATGATGTCTCCTTTATGTACAGTTGGGAAGGTCCCCTGGAGGAGGAAATGGCAACCCATTCCAGTAATTTTGCCTAGAGAATCCCATGGACAGAGGAGCCTGGCGGGCTACAGTCCATGGGGTCGCAAAAAGTCGGACACGACTGAGCGACTAATATTAATACTATGCAGTCATGCTTGTATACGTGCGCATACAAGCCCGTTTCAATACAAACATGCAGCGCAAAGACCTTCATTCCAGAGCAATCATAGCTTCACCAGCCCCTTGCCATCCCCACGCCAGGCTCTCAGAGGAAGGAGCCCACAGCTCTGGCCGCTTCAGGCCTTCTGTCTGCTGAACTGAGCTGAGCTGCAGGATTTACATGCTAAAGGAAACAGAGTCCTGGCCCCAGAAACTGATCCTGGGAGGAGGAGGAGAGAAACGGAGAGGTTTCCAGGAGCCGGAGGTGGGAAGCAGAGTTTGGGCGAGGGAGGGGAGAGGGAGAGAGAGGAAACAGTTACCATGGCGAGCCATGCAAGATGCTGAGACTTGAGGTGAAGTTGAAAGGCTGAGCTATTGATACGGGATGAGGTTCTGAGAGAACAGAAATGAAGGCAGGATGAGCAGAGGCGAGAAGACCCCACGAAGGCTTGCTGAAAGTTATGGGATCCCTTGGTGATTTTCTGAGAGGCAATGAGGATTCAAAATGCATTCATTAATTCCTGCCTATCTGACTGGTGTTTCTACTGGCTCTGCAACCATTCTCACTGGTGAGAGCAGCTGGGTTAAGTTAATTAAACAACGAAGCGTTAGAGTGGATGGGGCTCTAATGCTTTGGCAGCCAGTAGGCAAACCTAAATCTAAGCCCGTAAATGCCTCCAAGTTAGGAATCAGAATGCTGAAGACAAAGATCACAAACAGCCAAGTCAGCTTTAAACCACAGCCGGTCAAATAATTTCCTTTCTTGGCTTTCTTTACCTGGGTGTTTCCTGAGAGCCTGTGGTCCAGGGCTCCTACCGTTTCCAGTTTGGTGTTGCCCTATTGCAGATGGATTTTTGCTCAACCTCTTAGAATTTTTTTTTATTATGCCTCAGTTTATCTTTTTAGAGCTTCCCTTGTGGCTCAGCTGGTGAAGAATCCGCCTGCAATGCGGGAGACCTGAGTTCGACCCCTGGGTCGGGAAGAGCCCCTGGAGAAGGAAACAGCTGCCCACTCCAGTATCCTGGCCTGGAGGATCCCAGGGACTGTGTGGTCCACTGGGCCGCAAAGAGTCGCCCGGCTCTCTCTGCGCTCCTGGTCACGCTTCAGGAGCTCCGTCCGGGAAGTGGAGGCTGTCCCGAGCCCCCGGGCACGCTCAGCAACCACCGCGGTCCCTAGTGCCCTCACCAGCAGATGCTCCAGAGATATGGCTTAAACAGAGGAGGTATGGCGACCGGCTGAACAAAGCTGACTGCACTGCCGGGGACCCAAGCAGGACTGCTCATCCTTTATGTGCGTGAGCCCAAGAGCTAGGACAGGCCTGGTTTGCTGGGCTCCTGTTTGTCTTGTTTGGCCATCTTAATAGTTGCCCGTGGCAAGAAATACGCATTCTCACTTTAAATACACAGGTCCTTTGACCACAGCCGCCCCCTCCTGCCGCAGACTCCCCAGCTGCAGGGTCATCCCCCTGTCTCAGGGTCAGCACGCGCAGTCCCCGGGGAGGGGCGGACTGGGTGGGTTGTCTGGAAACCGGGGAGAAACCGCAGAGTTCCGGGCGAGCGGCACAACAGAATCAACCAGAATCATGTTTGGGCCCAGTCCAGGATAATCAAAACTGAATTCCTGGGCCTCCGTCATTTTTTTTTTAATCCCTGGGTCATTCGGACACAAGGTTAAGAGATGGGAAGCACTCTCCCTTTCATCCTCGCCCAGCTCCAGCCTGAGTCTTCGCCTCCTACGTCTGATCCCAGAGGTCGTAGGTGGGCCTCCAGCCCAACGGCTGGCTCAGTAGCCCCATGTGACTCTGAGGGGCCGCTGCTCCCTCCGTCCCCAACTGAGACCCGATGCCTTGGCTGGCTGGGCCCGTCCTGGGTCAGGCTGGCATCTTGGAAAAATTACTAACAGCTCCTCTTTCTCTCTTAAAAGAGCTCCAGGTTTGGATGGTAAATTATACGGTCCCTCCACACATATCAAACAGGGGAAACCCAGTCTCGCCTAGCGCAGTATTTTCCTGGGATTCTTTCCAGCAGCAGTTTTAATATTCCTTCCCTCTCTTCCTTCCACAGACATCTTTCTTTCCAGGGCTTTCTTCCTTCCTTTTCACCAGATAAGGCTTGAGCACCCCCCAAACAGCCCACTCTCTCACTCCTCCCCCCACCCCCCCCCCCCCCGGGAGCTTACCCTCCCCTCCACATCCGGAGAGTTCAGGAGGACGCCGCGGGCGAGAGACGGGATTCTGCTGGCTCCTGTTTGAGCGCCCACAGACAGGCAAGCAGCCCGAGCCCTGAGTTCGCCGGAGCAGCCCTGGCGTTCCTGCGGACCTCGGATCACTGGAGAAAAAGGTCTACGGGGCGCAGCATCCAGGAGGACCTCCTGCAGCTGACGAGGGGGGCGGACGCCGTGCCCAAGCGTGGCCCCGGGCTCCTGCAGGTGGAGGAGGAGCAGCTGTGGGTTTTCCCGATTCACCCACACCACGGACTTCCCACAGAGGAGGGCGCTGGCCTCTGCATCTTTCTCATCGGGCCTCTCTCCTGGGTGAGCCCCGAGCTCAGGGTCCTGATTCCCGTGGCTGACGCTCTGCCCTCTCTCCCGGGTAGGCCCTGGATCAAGGGTCCTGATTCCCGTGGCTGATGCTCTGGCTCTCTCCTGGGTGAGCCCCGAGCTCAGGGTCCTGATTCCCGTGGCTGACGCTCTGCCCTCTCTCCCGGGTAGGCCCTGGATCAAGGGTCCTGATTCCCGTGGCTGACGCTCTGGCTCTCTCCTGGGTGAGCCCCAAGCTCAGGGTCCTGATTCCTGCGGCTGATGCTCTGCCCTCTCTCCCGGGTAAGCCCTGGATCAAGGGTCCTGATTCCCGCGGCTGACACTCGGGCTCTCTCCTGGGTGAGCCCTGGACTCAGGGTCCCGATTCCCATATATGACTCTCGGGCTCTCTCCTAGGTGAGCCCTGGAATCAGGGTCCTGATTCCCGTGGCTGACGCTCTGGCTCTCTCCTAGGTGACCCCTGGACTCAGGGTCCTGCTTCCCGTGGCTGACGCTCTGGCTCTCTCCTGGGTGAGCCCTGGACTCAGGGTCCTGATTCCCGCGGCTGACACTCGGGCTCTCTCCTGGGTGAGCCCTGGACTCAGGGTCCTGATTCCCGCGGCTGACACTCGGGCTCTCTCCTAGGTGAGCCCTGGACTCAGGGTCCTGCTTCCCGTGGCTGACGCTCTGGCTCTCTCCTGGGTGAGCCCTGGACTCAGGGTCCCGATTCCCGCGGCTGACTCTCGGGCTCTCTCCTAGGTGAGCCCTGGAATCAGGGTCCTGATTCCCGTGGCTGACGCTCTGGCTCTCTCCTGGGTGAGCCGTGGACTCAGGGTCCCGATTCCCATATATGACTCTCGGGCTCTCTCCTGGGTGAGCCGTGGACTCAGGGTCCCGATTCCCATATATGACTCTCGGGCTCTCTCCTAGGTGAGCCCTGGAATCAAGGTCCTGATTCCCGCGGCTGACTCTCTGGCTCTCTCCTGGGTGAGCCCTGGAGTCAGGGTCCTGATTCCCGTGGCTGACTCTCTGACTCTCTCCTGGGTGAGCCCTGGACTCAGGGTCCCGATTCCCATATATGACTCTCGGGCTCTCTCCTGGGTGAGCCCTGGACTCAGGGTCCCGATTCCCATATATGACTCTCTGGCTCTCTCCTGGTGAGCCCTGGACTCAGGGTCCCGATTCCCATATATGACTCTCTGGCTCTCTCCTGGGTGAGCCCTGGACTCAGGGTCCTGATTCCCGCGGCTTACTCTCTGGCTCTCTCCTGGGTGAGCCCTGGACTCAGGGTCCCGATTCCCGTGGCTGACGCTCTGGCTGTCTCCTGGGTGAGCCCTGGACTCAGGGTCCCGATTCCCATATATGACGCTCGGGCTCTCTCCTGGGTGAGCCCTGGACTCAGGGTCCCGATTCCCATATATGACGCTCGGGCTCTCTCCTGGGTGAGCCCTGGACTCAGGGTCCCGATTCCCATGTATGACTCTCGGGCTCTCTCCTGGGTGAGCCCTGGACTCAGGGTCCCGATTCCCATGTATGACGCTCGGGCTCTCTCCTCGGTGAGCCCTGGACTCAGGGTCCCGATTCCCATATATGACTCTCTGGCTCTCTCCTGGGTGAGCCCTGGACTCAGGGTCCCAATTCCCATGTATGACGCTCGGGCTCTCTCCTGGGTGAGCCCTGGACTCAGGGTCCTGATTCCCATATATGATTCTCGGGCTCTCTCCTGGGTGAGCCCTGGACTCAGGGTCCCGATTCCCATATATGATTCTCGGGCTCTCTCCTGGGTGAGCCCTGGACTCAGGGTCCCGATTCCCATATATGACTCTCTGACTCTCTCCTGGGTGAGCCCTGGACTCAGGGTCCCGATTCCCATATATGACTCTCTGGCTCTCTCCTGGGTGAGCCCTGGACTCAGGGTCCCGATTCCCATATATGACTCTCTGGCTCTCTCCTGGGTGAGCCCTGGACTCAGGGTCCCGATTCCCATATATGACTCTCTGGCTCTCTCCTGGGTGAGCCCTGGACTCAGGGTCCCGATTCCCATATATGACGCTCGGGCTCTCTCCTGGGTGAGCCCTGGACTCAGGGTCCCGATTCCCATGTATGACTCTCGGGCTCTCTCCTGGGTGAGCCCTGGACTCAGGGTCCCGATTCCCATGTATGACGCTCGGGCTCTCTCCTGGGTGAGCCCTGGACTCAGGGTCCCGATTCCCATGTATGACGCTCGGGCTCTCTCCTCGGTGAGCCCTGGACTCAGGGTCCCGATTCGCATATATGATTCTCTGGCTCTCTCCTGGGTGAGCCCTGGACTCAGGGTCCCAATTCCCATGTATGACGCTCGGGCTCTCTCCTGGGTGAGCCCTGGACTCAGGGTCCCGATTCCCATATATGATTCTCGGGCTCTCTCCTGGGTGAGCCCTGGACTCAGGGTCCCGATTCCCATATATGATTCTCGGGCTCTCTCCTGGGTGAGCCCTGGACTCAGGGTCCCGATTCCCATATATGATTCTCGGGCTCTCTCCTGGGTGAGCCCTGGACTCAGGGTCCCGATTCCCATATATGATTCTCTGGCTCTCTCCTGGGTGAGCCCTGGACTCAGGGTCCCGATTCCCATATATGACTCTCTGGCTCTCTCCTGGGTGAGCCCTGGACTCAGGGTCCCGATTCCCATATATGATTCTCTGGCTCTCTCCTGGGTGAGCCCTGGACTCAGGGTCCCGATTCCCATATATGACGCTCGGGCTCTCTCCTGGGTGAGCCCTGGACTCAGGGTCCCGATTCCCATATATGACTCTCTGGCTCTCTCCTGGGTGAGCCCTGGACTCAGGGTCCCGATTCCCATATATGATTCTCTGGCTCTCTCCTGGGTGAGCCCTGGACTCAGGGTCCCGATTCCCATATATGACGCTCGGGCTCTCTCCTGGGTGAGCCCTGGACTCAGGGTCCCGATTCCCGTGTATGACGCTCGGGCTCTCTCCTTGGTGAGCCCTGGACTCAGGGTCCCGATTCCCGTGTATGACGCTCGGGCTCTCTCCTGGGTGAGCCCTGGACTCAGGGTCCCGATTCCCATATATGACGCTCGGGCTCTCTCCTGGGTGAGCCCTGGACTCAGGGTCCCGATTCCCATATATGATTCTCTGGCTCTCTCCTGGGTGAGCCCTGGACTCAGGGTCCCGATTCCCATATATGATTCTCTGGCTCTCTCCTGGGTGAGCCCTGGACTCAGGGTCCCGATTCCCATATATGATTCTCTGGCTCTCTCCTGGGTGAGCCCTGGACTCAGGGTCCCGATTCCCGTGGCTGACGCTCTGGCTGTCTCCTGGGTGAGCCCTGGACTCAGGGTCCCGATTCCCATATATGATTCTCGGGCTCTCTCCTGGGTGAGCCCTGGACTCAGGGTCCTGATTCCCATGTATGACGCTCGGGCTCTCTCCTGGGTGAGCCCTGGACTCTGACTCCCCTTGATCCCTGGTATGCAGGTTGCTTCTCCTCCACCTCTGGTGGTCCCCTGATTCCAGGACATCATAATCCCCTCCACCCCACGCATATTTGGCTGCTGCTCACCTATGGGAGCTCTTCCTGGGTTCGGCCTCCCATTCTGATGCTTCTCCAAAAGCCCAGGCCAGGACTAGGTTGCTGTCTCAGAGAGGACACACAGGCCACGTCAGGGCGGATTGCCTGACACGCTCCTAAACGACAGCGTTCATGCCTTCTCGCCGAGACCGAGGCGGTTTCCCCGCAGACACTACAAAGCAGATGGAGCCCCTGAACCTGGGTCTGTGCTGCGGCGTCATTCTCCTCCCGCCCCTCCCCACCCAGTCCCACCCAGGCTCTCTGCCCTCCTCACGTTCCCTGAGTGGACTGTGTTAGTCGCTCAGTCGTGCCCAGCTCTGCGACCCCACGGACTGTAGCCCACCAGGCTCCTCTGTCCGTGGGATTCTCCAGGCAAGAATGCTGGCGTGGGCTGCCATGCCCTCCTCCAGGGGACCTTCCTGACCCAGGGATCAAAGCCTGGTCTCCCGCCTGGGAGGCAGCTTCTTTACCGTCTGAGCTACGGGGAAGTCTCATCATATTCCCTACCACCCTCTTGAGGTGCCTCCGCTCTCCATCTCACGTCGGATATGAGTTGCTAAATTAGTTGATGAATCAGTTTTTGGTTCATAAGCCAACTACCAACGCTGACAGTTACAGAAGTGAGCTGTCCCATAAGGGCGGGTGGTGCAGATTCAGATGACCTCAGGGGCAGAAGGCAGGGTGACTGGACGGACCGGCCGGGTGGGGACCAGAGCATCTGGTGGGTACCTGCCCTGGAGAGAGGGTCTCACTGCTGCCCTGGCTCAGCGCACGGTTGCCAGGAAGGAATGCTGCTTCCAAATGCTAGACTTTTCCAGCTTTCCAGAAGAACAGAGATACCTGGATTCTTATGAAAATTCTAATTTTTTTTTGGAGTATTAATGCCTTATTTTAAAACATTTAAATTTCATCCTTAAACAAATCTCTGTGTGAGTCGGATCTGGTTTCCTGGCTGCCAGTTGCCAGTGTCTTTTCTAGTGTATTCTCAGACAAATTTTTACGTCATTTTAAGCATGATTTCCAGATTGAAAAACCCTCTGAGGCAACCCAATGTCAAGGGGTGTGAAATGCTAAAGGATACCCTGGAAATCTACAGATGTTGCTGTTTATGCATAAAAATAACAGTAGCAACCACAGAAATTCCTAGTAAGTGACAGATAGCCACTTAAGAAAATCTTTTACTGAAAGGAGATTTTAAGCATTCTATAAGAGGTCCACTGTGCATGCTTTTGTGCCTGAACACTTCATTTTTCATAAACAAAAAACCTCTAATTGTCTTCCATTTTAAAATATCTTTGTCAGCAAAGATACTGAGGAGGTAGTTAGAGGGGAAAATAAAAACACTATGAAAGTTAGCAGGGACATTAGTTAATCTCTTATCTCTTATGGCAGTTTACATTTTGAGTGACAACTAAGGGTATCTACTTTGCAAATACTC